GTCTCCTGATTTACGGTAAATTCCACAAGGAGACACCGCCTAGGAGAGGTGGACGTTAAGTAATAGCTTTACACAATTTAGCTCGGACCCTCCCTTTATATACCGAGACTTCCAGGAGGCAGAGGAGAAGAGAAAGGAAAATGGAAGAACTAGATGGGTAAGAACTTGAGAGGAACGAACTGAGATGGGGAAGAACTAGATTAAAGGGCTAAAAGAGAGGACTAGAGGAACAAGATGGAAGATGAGGAAGAGCCAGATGGGGAAGAACAAGATGAGGAAGAGCCAGATGAGAGAGAAGGAGACGAGAGAGGAGCTAATAGGGGAAAGAACTAGATAGATGAGAACCTAGAAGGGACAGAACTAGATGAAGGAATTAAGATAGAACCTAGAGGGGACAGTAGATAAATATAGAGAGAAATCAGGCAAGAAAGGAGCTAGACATGAGAACTATCACAGAATAATAAAGTATATGAACTAAGGAGTTTCGTGTACATAAATTCATTTCTTCCCATTAAAGATTAATTATCAGCTGGTTGTAGATTCTTCCCGGACCCTGGGAGGGGACTATCAAGGGGCTGGACCCCCATAGTCACCAATACTGACTAAAATGTTGTGCCTGTCCAAAAACCGTGTTCCACAGTATTATGTCAATCTGTCAAAGGTGTTTTATTTAATAGAATTGCAATTAAGTTGATATTTGTCAATTAGTGTCTTCTACAGAGTAGGTACATTTGACTCATGCATGCATTGTTGATAATGAAGTTTATATTAATTATTAAATAATGCAACAAGAAAGTGGCCATTTGTGATCTTAAGACTGACAGTAGCTTTGTCTTAATGACATGAGAGGAGAGAGAGAGAGAGAGAGAGAGAGAGAGAGAGAGAGAGAGAGAGAGAGAGAGAGAAGACAGAGAGGTGGAAGATGATGTGCAAAACCTCAGACAACTGTAATGAAGAATGTCAGTGATGTTCTGCATCAAAGGATTTCATTTAAAACCGACCCATAAATATTTGTCTGCATATCATGTCCCTACATACCCACAGAGGCCAGAAAAACAAACATCAGATCCCCTGGAACTGAAGTTATAGACAGTTGTGAGCTGTACTGTGGGTGCTGGGAATTGAACTTGGGTTTTCTGGAAGAGCAACATTTTCTACTAACTTGATCCATCTCTCCAGCCCTGACTATCACTACTTTTACTGAAACTTTGGTTCGCCTTCCTCTGAACAAAATCAATTTTGTGTCAGTTTTGTGACCCTGTGAGAACAGCAGAAGCATGAGTTATGATCCATCCTCTTCTTTCCCCCATTGTGGTCACCATGGAGAGTGCACAAGCTTCCAAGTCCTGCAGTGAAACCCTGAATATCCAAATACAAGATAGGATTATTGCTGCGGGCCACAGGAATATATCATAAGAACTCAGCTAGTTATGGCAAAGTCACTACCTGGAGGGATCAGGGAATTCCTCCAAAGGAAGCCAAATTCCAAGGAGCTTTTGGTGTTATTTGGCTTGTGATATATCAGCTGTATCCCGCTATGAAAATCATGTGTGCCTTCATAGTCTTTCCCAATTGACTTTTCCCTAAGAAGGGCTAACAGTGTGGACTGATCACTCTCTGGACATACATATTCCAGGTATTTGGAGAACAGCCTCTGGAAAGGCTTTCTCTGGAATCAGAGATCTCTCTTAGCCATTCTTAAGGACTAACAGTAATAAAATGTCTCCTGATTTAAGGTAAATTCCACAAGGAGACACTACCTAAGTCAGGTGGATGTTAAGTAATAGCTTTATATAATTTAGCTAGGACCCACCTTTCTTACAGCCTTACTAACTTTATAGACCTTTAACTCCTTACCCAACCATTTCTAGGAATATTTAGATAACTTTCTGTGCTGACAGTTATGCTCAGCCAGAACCCCAGTTCAAGTCTCCCTGTAATTATCATCATTGGCAGCATCTGGCCAGGTCCATCCCCAGATAGAGGAAAGTACCTTATCAGAGACACCTCTGTACTCTCTAAGAACAGACTTAAGCATCCAGGCTACCTGTTTGAGAAGGCCTGACGGATGTGCCAATTAAGCTTAACTTCCTTCTTTCCTCCAGTTCTAACCTCCAGTTCTAGATTTCCCTTTACCTATCACCAGAGGCATCTACCTGTACACAGGTTGCCTAGCAAATGAGCACACTTTCCCCCACCCTGCAGAAAAAAGGCAGATACCTTGGACAGATAGGAGCCACAAGAAAAAAGAAGACAGTTTTATTTTCTCCCATTGACCTAGCAACTTACAGATTCTTAACATTTTCTACTAATCACGTTTAAGACTATAGTTGAGCACATAAGATACCTCTTCTTAGATATTACTCGGATTTAGCCTTTAGTTAATTCATTTCCCCATTGGTTACTTCCCTTTTGGGGTTGCAAATGATAAGTAATGGTTATTGCCTCTCTATGTGATTCTTATCACCCCTCCATCTGACCCTGGAAGCCTGGCTTTGCACTGCCAAGGGATTACTGCTTGTAAGTGTATATATACCAGGACTTCCAGAACACTGGAGAATGGAGAAGAGAAAAGAGAATGGAAGAACTAGATGGGTAAGAACTTGAGAGTAACAAACTGAGATGGGGAAGAACTAGATTCAAGAGCTAGAAGAGAGTACTAGAGGAACAAGATGGAAGATGAGGAAGAGCCAGATGGGGAAGAACAAGATGAGAGAGAAGGAGATGGGAGAGAGGCTGATATGGGAAAGAACTAGATAGATGAGAACTTAGAAGGGGCAGAACTAAAAGAGGGAATTAAGATAGAACTTAGAGGAGACAAGAGATAAATGTAGGGAGAAATTGGACAAGAAAGGAGCTAAAAATGAGAGCAGAGTATAAGCTTGTAGAGAGAGAATCCACACAAAATAATAAAGTATATGGACTAAGGAGTTTTGTGTACATAGATTCATTTTTTTCATCAAAGATTAATTATCAGCTGGTTGTAGATTCTTCCCGGACTCTGGGAGGGGGCTATAGAGGGGTTGAACCCCCGAAGTCCTCCATAGATTATTTTGGGAGTCAGGTCAAAAACACTTAGTATTTAGTCTTCCTTCATGGGTGATGTTTCAAAGAATTTCTTACACCCATGTATGATGATGGAATCATGTTTCAAAATATCTTATTTATTTTCTGATTGTTAAACACACAGAGACAGACAGACAGACAGACAGACACACACACACAGATCAACTTAGAAACTTAGAGGCAGTATGTATCTCTCTTTTTTAATGTCTATTATATTTATTTAGGTTATGATTTTATAAGATTATATATTTACTATATTTTATCAAATTGAATAACATAAAGATGATTTTGCCACATTTTGTCCAAATGGCATACAAAAAAACATAATCAAAATATTTTTCATGACTGAAGGCTTAAGAATAAAGTTTAAATATACTTATATATACTGTAACTTAATTTTATAAATATTAGCACATAAATCATTCAAATTTTTCCATCTCTTCTAATATTTATGATTTCTTTGTGTTATGAATCCCCAGGGGAGTCCTTGCCTTGGAGGAGATGGGAATGGGGGGTTTGGCTGGGGGGAGGGCGAGAGAAGGGGGCAGGAGGAGGGAGGACAGGGGAATCCATTGCTGATATGTAAAATTAAATTAAATTATAAAATGAAAAATTAAAAAAAAACATTCTATTAAATAAATAAATCTAGAAATGTTGAGTTCATAGAAAGTAAGAGTGGATTATTGGCTGCCAGAGGCTAGATGAGGCAGAGATGAGGAAATGTTGGTCAATGTTATCAATATATAGCTAGAGAGAGAAAGAATTTTCATGTGCTTCTGCAGAGTTGTTGGACTATAGATAATTGTAATATACTCCATGTTTCCCAAAAGCTGGAAGAAAGAATGTATATCTCTTTGAGAAGAGGACTCAGAAGCAAATTGGTGAGGCTGGCAGGTAGTCTACAAGTGCAAAGAGAGGACCCCAGATATCCCACCTGTCAAGAAGCTGATGATTATTCCAGCAGCTACGCATCCCAGGAAGCCCAAGGCACTATAGTAAAGGTAGGAGAGGGAGTACCATGTGTCTGCTAGCACAGGTCTGTGGAGAAAAACAGCACATGTCATTAACTCTGTTCATCATTCAAAAATAAGAATATGATCTCTTCCCTGTTCACTTTAGGTTCTGGCATATCTTAAAACCCCAAATCGTAATATTTAATTCTTTAATGAAAAACAATCATGAGCTAGTGTCGCTTTGTATAACTATACACAATCCATATCATCACTGATTTACAAATACAAATAAATATGTGTATATATATATGGAGAGAGAGAGAGAGAGAGAGAGAGAGAGAGAGAGAGAGAGAGAGAGAGAGAGAGAATTTCTCAATGAGGACAGCGTCTTCCACTCCTTTTAAGTTATTTACTACTCAATTGTTCATTAATTCCAGAGATAATGGAAAAATTGTGACTTGTCTGTGTGTATAAACTGACAGAAAATCTCCAAAGGGACTTCTCAGTCCTATTCAAGTTTTATAGACTACACAGAAAGAATGCAGCCTTCAGATACCTTGCACTAAGATCATGACCCCCATCTGTTCTTTAGTCCTCCAGTATACTATTTTCACTCTTGTTTGCCTGAATGAAGAGAATAGCCATCTGCAGAACTCTGTGTAGCCTTGCACAGTACCCTTCATTGCTAAACACATGCAGATAAGCAAGAACTAGCTCATCAAATTACCGATGAGAGAGGTCTCTCCTCTTATTTGCTGACCTACTTTGGAACTTAGTACAATTTTTAAAGTCAACATACCTGTTGGAAAGCTGCGGTCCTACTGTTGTTGTTATATTTAATTGTACACACTTTTCTGTTGATAGAGGTAAAGGTAATGTCTTAGAGTCTGGTGCAGGGTAAATGAAAGCCCCGATGGCAACCCAAAATGACAACGTGATTCCAGTAAGGAGGCCTCCTAGAGCACCCTTGGAGAAAAATAGAAGATAATAAGAAATTAGACAAGGCTTTTCTTGTTTGCAAAAATATTGATATAAGGTATAATGTATTGTAGAGAGTCTAGATACACTTACTTATTTACTTACTTATTCATTCACTTATTTTTGGTAGTAGGTATGGATTCCAGGGTCTTATGCATGTGAGGCCAGTTCTCTACCACTGAGTCATAACCTTCAGCCCCATGAAGCAATTTTTAAGTAAGAGTAAGTTGTACCTTGAATAAATTTTTTTCTGTCTCTTATTTGTTCCCCCTTTTTACTTGAAAAGATGGTGAAACCTCAGTGTTCAATAAGAGTTTCAGAGCCAGCCGGGCGGTGGTGGCGCACGCCTTTAATCCCAGCACTCGGGAGGCAGAGCCAGGCGGATCTCTGTGAGTTCGAGGCCAGCCTGGGCTA